AGGTAGAATCCATGTATCGCAAATTTATATATGTGTTTTTAAGTAATTAAAAACATATCATGTAGAGTTTATTTCATGAATGAATAGTGTTATCCTATGTGGAATGACTTCATAATTTCTTTACATCACACATTATCATTTGTATTTTGACTAGATCATTTTTAATTAAATATTTTCATTAGTAGAAAGGTTTTAAACAAAGCTCATATCTCTTCCTTTACTTTCTGACACTTAGCAAAATCTCCTTAAAAAGATTTGTTTTTTAACTTTGCATAATTTTTTCTAAGAATTTTCTTAAAGAACATTATCAGTTAGAATCTTCTTTCTCTCTGTGTCTGACCATACACCCACATATACCCATATATAGGACAGATAAATCAATGCACTAACATGTAGGGACATGCTTACACATGACATAATCTATAGAATACATACTGCGATATGTAGTCATATCCATGCAAGTTTAACAAGATAATATATTTCTATAAATTTATTTTAGGGTTTTACTGTTGGGGATGGTGCCAGGCTCACTCGTGCCTTTTCCTCTCTGAGTCCTGCTCTGCGCCCCTCCCACAGGCCACACTCTGAGGAGCATGTGCAGGTCCTGGTCTGTGACAAACTCTTCTCTAAAAGACCAAATCAAGTGACTCTGCTTTCCAGGCATATTGAGGGGGTGGAGGAGAGGGTGATCTCAGAAGGGGTAGAGAAAGGGCAAGGAGAGAAGACCCAGCCACACGGAAACCCACATGGCTGGGGTGACGGTCGGGGGGCCCAAGGTCCTGCCCTCCCTGCATCCATCACTCCGTCACTGTGTGTGCTTGTCTAGCATGGCCAGGGGAAGGTTCTCCAGGGGCTCCCAAAATGAGTGGGTTAAATTACTGTTACTTTGTTAGGACAGAGTCTCTGAAATAAATTCAAGGTGATGTTGGGATAAGCTGTGACATTTATTGCATAGCAGTTTGTCCAGAGCCTTAGATGAAGAGACCAACCACGCATTGAAAATTTCTAGAAAGACATACAAGGCAATGTGGGCAGATACTGCCTTCAGGGGCCTTAACTTGCTGGGTTAGGAGGTGGAAAAAGGGTCACGACTAATACCCTCTGCTGGTTTCCATGGCTCACTATGAGCACTACTGCTTATAGAATAAAAAAATATATATTTATAGAAATTTCAAAGCTAGATTGGAAAATGCAACTGCAAATGGTGCTCACATTTCTTGAATTCTCATTCTGTATGTTATGGGCATCTGCATTTTACCTTGTTGGATTTTACAGTGAAATTATGAAGAAAGCATAATTACTATGGCCACATTATTTTTTATTTCAAATGGAGATGAGGGTACTCTTTTTAGGTTACACTGTTCTCACTTCCAGGCTAAAGTCCCATTTGCAGAGGGGCCCCTCACCTAGGGGGCGTGTTATACACCCTCATGATGTGCACATTAGGTGAGGTCCCGCCTCATGCCCTCCCTCCTTCTGCCAATCATCCTCCCCCTCCTCCCACACCACTCCTGCCTCCATCTACCCCTGTGCTAGACTATATCTGTGTTTTATTATTCTTATTAGCATATAATTGTTTCTATATTAATTTCACATTAGTATGGAATGCACTGCATATTTATTATTTCATTCTTGTGATTCTTTACTAACAAGAATGTATTTCAACTCCATCCAGGTAAATGTAAAAGATAAAAAGTCTCCATCTTTTTTAATGGTTGAGTAGCACTCTATGGCATACATATACCACAGTTTTTTGATCCATTTATGGGTTGATATGCACTTAGGTTGCTTCCACGAGTTGGCAATTATGAATTGAGCCACAACAAACATTCTAGTGCAAATGTCTTTGTGGTAAAATGATTTTTCTTCTTCTGGGCAGATAACCTAATAATGGAATTGCAGGATCAAATGGAAGGTCGACGTTTAGATCTTTTAGGGTTGTCCACACTTCTCTCCAAAAGGCTGTATTAGTTTGCATCTACAGAGAACTCAAATTAAACAGTAAGAAAAGTGCAACCAACCCCCTCTAGAAGTGGGCAAGAGATTTGAACAGAAATTTCTCTGAGGATGACAGATGAATGGCCAAGAAACACATGAAAAAATGCTCACGGTCTTGAATCAACAGAGAAATGCAAATCAAAACCACTCTAAGACATCACACAACTCCAGCAAGGTTAGCCCAGGTCACAAAGTCACAAAACACCAGATGTGGCATGGATATGGTGACAGGGGAACACTTCTACACTGCTGGTGAGATTGCAAACTAATATGGCAACGTTCTTTAAATGAGGACTCTAATGCACAAAGATTTTAAATAACTTCCTGTAAGTTACATAGCTAAAAAGTGGCTGAGCTCGCAACAGGGGTAGTCTGGTTTGAGAGCCCACATATTAGTTAAAAATTATGCGATACCCACACCTATAACATTAAACTATATGCAAATGTAAGCTTTGGATATTTTCTAGTAGCATAATTCATGAATAACTATGTTTGACAATGTTTGTACAATTATTTATATACTTGTGGGCCCCCTTCACAAATGAGCTGTACTTTGTTTCTGGTTATCAGCTTACTACAGCATGCTAGAAATACCAGTTTCTACAATGTCTTATTTCAGTGTATTCTCTCAGTCTTTGTAGTCATCAAAAGTTATATTTTTTATCTTGTTTAATTATATTTTTAACTTTGGAATATTCTTTTGTCAAAAGACAAAACGTGGCCTCAAATTGGCAATCTCTCACGGGCCGACTGCCATTGGCGCTTTCCCGACATCTCAAGATGTGGCTGTTAATCGTCTACTGAGATCATTAGCGGAGTACTAATTAGAGTTGAATGTAATTATAATTGATGTGGTATGTTCATTTACACTGAAATATGACACATGGAAGAATATTTACATATTAACTGCAATTACTTATATCTCTTAATGGAGGAGGATTCGCACTATGGGAACCAGGCTTGCCTTTCCCTTCCAACAGAAAACCTCGGGACGTGCACTTTAATATGGCTGGAATTAATTTATTGCCACTCACCCTGTTGGGAAGCGTTTGATATTGCACTGAAGCTTTTCAATTCTACCACAGGCAGGAGCAAATGTAGGTCATGTGGAAAATATTATACCCCTACTATGCTTTCCTGAATAACTAAACAGTCATGGAGAAGTTCAATGAAAGGTCAGGTCGAAAACTCCAAATGCCAGGAAGTGCAGCAATTATCTCTGGCTGCTAGTCCTGATCTTGGAACGGAAGGTAAATATAATTTTTTGTAGCATTTCTTATTAAAAGAGTCATCAAGTTCCTCCACAAAATGTCCAGTAAGGAGAAATCTACTTTATGCTTTACAGATAAGGGCACTCACAGGTGGGTCCTCCCACTCAGCACTTCCCAACACTGTGACCACCGTAACTCAATGGCCATCACGAAATGTGCTCACTCACCTGCGCTCAGGACAGTACCACCCCCTGTTCATCATTTCTGGGATTGGTGGATGCTTTTTTATGATCTGCTTCACTGGCTTCATGTACAATAACTTCTTATTACAGATTTTTTTTAGCTCCTAAAACTACAACTACAATATAAACTTAGAAAATAAAAGCATACTATCTCTTCACTCAAATTCTCAAAGCAAAATTAAATACAATAAATTCCAGCTCTCCAGATTAGTATTCTCATTTTCACCTACACACAGACAGATCTATCATGCTATTTTAAGGAACTCAATATTTAAAGGAGGAACCAGTAAGATATCTTTTAAAACTGTTTCAAAGAAAAATTCAAAAGAAAATGCATATAGGTATATAATCTGAAATACTAAAACTAATTTGCAAGGAGATTCAAAACTAGTCAATATTCACTGAGCAATAATCAATTGCATTTCTTGCTGTATAATTACATACCAGACCATCAAAAGGCTCTACGATGGGGAATTGTACTGGTCCATTCACTACATCCTCAGATTGTCCAGTCTGGAATCATGTACTTTTATCACAAATTCCCTCTTTCAAAACACATATTGTTGACAATCATTTATAAAGAGAATTTTGAAAAGAAGAGCAAGGGGGTCCATTTGCATTTCACTGGTCAGAAAGCGTTTGCCTTGTTCATTTTCTACAGGTTGCAGAGGTTCCAATATTTGTGTTTGGTGTGCAAAAGTTTATGAATGTAACTCTTTTCAGCCTTGTTATATTGGTTTTTTTCCCTGTGTGCTTACATTTTGAAATTTTCCATAATAAAAAATATAGGCTTAAAAAAAAAACACCAATCATTGGGTACTTTTTCCTCCATTCTTGAGATACTTTACTCAGGAGAATATGTTCCAGGTCCCTCCATGTAAACATATAGGAGGTAAAAGCTCTATCTTTTCCTAAGGCTGCATAGTATCAGTACTTCTATGAAACCTACTTATATTTACTCAAAACTATAGACCAGATAAGGGGAGAAATGGAGTGGGAAGGGAGGGGAGGGCGGACGTTTGAGAGAGGGAGGGTAAAAGGCGGGACCACACCTATGGAGCATATTGCAAGGGTACAAGTCAAATCTATCAAGTGTAGAACATAAATGTCTTAACACAATAATCAAGTAAATGAGGCAAAAGCTATGTTGATTGCTTTGATGTAACCACGTCAGATTGTATAAAAAAAATCAACCCCACATATGCATAAATGTATTCATGATCTATGTATATTTGACTTAATAAAAAAAAAGAAAAATACCAATCAATATGATATGATTGGAACATCTTCAAGGATGCAGGCTTCTCATATGCAGCCCTGCTCTTCATTTGGGCATAATAAGAGCCTGCATCTTGCAGAGTCAAACTTTTAAAAGTTAAAAATATTCACTCACAAAGAGAAATACAAGTAGACTGTACAAAAGTGTCAAACAATTAGCACCCATTAGCACAGCATTGCTCTGTCTCGATTTCCTTTTACCTGACACATACAGGGTGGGTCTGTGCCCTCTGCCGGAATTCCGGCTTCAGTCTGTGTGTTCTGGTCATACCTTGGTAAACCGCTTTAAATCCAGGGGAGCCAATGCTGTCGTCCGACTGCAGATGTAACCACATCTGGTTGCTCATGCTCACAATGAGGTCAGGGACACTGGATCCTGTGAGCCTGCACGGAAGAGAAAAGCCAAAACCTTTACTGTCGGCAACAAATGGACTGACGTTAGCCTCAATGGAGTGTTTCTCCATTTAAACACTCAAACCACAGAGATATAGACTGGCTAGACCTGGAAAGAGCATCTGTCAAAGAATCTGTAACCACATGTAACTTATTTTAATATTTAAACGTCAACGGCTTTGGCATTTTATAGTAATTCTAATCTATGATTGAAATTTTTCATCTTATATGTTAAAAGTCGAATTAGGTCAACCAGCCGTCCAGTGTACCTGGAACTCAGAGGTTTCCCTAAGTTCAGGACTAACACTGGTAAAACAGAGATAGTTCTGGAAACAAACAAAGCCATTCATCCTATGGGACTGGGATTATATAATATCACTACACCAACAAACTGTACTGGTTCATTCACAAATTTTTTGGATTGCCTAGTCCTAGTCTAGAATTATGTACAGTTATCACAAAATCTCTTTTAAAGACACTGTATTGTATGTAATCATGCATTAAAAGGATGTTGAAAAGTGGCCCAGCATGAGCGGCTGAAATGGATTTGGAAGCTTGTATTGAACTCTCTTCCACCCGTTGATGTCCAGGTCACATTAAATGGAAGGTCCAGCGAAGCATTTATTGTGTATTAACAAAACAGTCACGTCGGGGCTGCTGTCAGCCAGAGAAAGGAAACACTGAATCCACCGACGGAACACAGCACGCTGACAGAAAGTCAAGTTAAAATTTTTAAAAAGTGTAAGAAAAAAATCAATTCAACCAAAACAAATGTCCCTAATCAAATAGGAAGTTTTGCTTTCACCAAAGTAGTTTCGGGCATATGAACACACGATTTCCCCATCAATCATATCATCTGTCTATCAAGCCGGCGGCATTCTCACCGTGGGGAGCACAGCACACCTGAGTCTTTGAAGGAAGATGAACAGCAGTCATCATTTGTGCAAAGTTACGTGCCAAGTGAAAAGAGGAAAGTATTTCAGTGAGTGAGGTATAGTAACTAAATACGGATTTCTCTCTGAACATTCGTCTTTGTTGGCAAGACTGCTCTATTTTGTTTGGCTGTTTGGTTGCTCGTTCGAGAAGAGCTTTGGCTTTCTCTCCTGTTTGTGCCCTTGATTGAAGTGGAACAAACCAGAGAGTGTTCAGGCTGCGAATGTCTGGTCCTGTGGGGTGACAGTGAACCATCTCACAGAGCTACACAGAAATTATCAGTGCTCAGACACCTCCTGGTCCTCCCACCTTCCCCAGACATAGAGTGGCTCTGCTTTTTTTCTACAGCTTTCTATAAATTAAGCCATAATTAGTTGTACCTGTTTTTGTGAAAGCTTTCTATAAATGAAATTATATGATGCACAGCATCTTGTTCTAGACTACGCTGTTGAAATTTATTCATGTAGTTGTTTGTCGTTGTATTTCATTTACTTTCACTTCCATAGAGACGTCACATGGTGTGTAAATACACACAGTGGTTGCTATTTTTCTGTGCCTGAAATGTTCGTTGAGATAACTGTAGAAATGCACATAATAATATGAAATAATATGCAGGGATCACACACACTCTTTACCCAGTTCCCCCCAATGGTTAACATTTTACAAAACTGAAATGTACTGTCACAGCCAAAGACTGATAGTGACACTCTGCCTCGTTCAAATTTTCCCTGTTCTATCTGAACTCTGTGTGTGCATTCACGTGTGTGTGTAGCTCAAGTCTATTTCTAGGACCCCAAATCTATCACAGGGGTCAACACAGACTAGTCCCACCTCTGGGGACTCCCTGACATCGCACTTGTAAAAGCTCTTGATCTCTCTGTCCCCACGTCCCACCTTTGCCCATCCCTAACCCCTGGCAAACACTAATTTGTCTCTACTCCAGATTTCTCACTTAAAATAGCATATAAATGAAATTGTACTGTCTTCAACAATTTGGGATTGACTCTCGTCATTGGGCTTAATTCCCTTGACACTTGCCCCAGTTTTTGTTTACACCAATAATACCCCTTTCCTTTGATTGCTGGGTAGTCCTCATGGTGTGGCGACAATACCACAGTTTGCTTGACCATTCACCTGCCCCAGGGTGGTTAGACTGACACCAGTTCTGGCCCATAGCACATGAAGCTGCCGTAAGCATTTCTGTGCAGGTTATTATGTGAACATACATTTTCATTTCTCTAGGATGAATGCCTGAGATTGCAATCGCTGAGTTATATAACCACACTTTTTTTTTTTTCAAAACTGCCAAACTGTGAAATTGTTCTCCAGACCGGTGATACCATTTTACATTCCCACCAACAATGTGTGCGCCTGCACAGACACTTTGGCGATGTCCGCATTTGTTTTGCTGTTTCAGTGTGTGGGTCATGATATGTCTTTGTGGCGTGACATGTGTGCTAATGATGCTGGACATCTCATCATGCTCCTTGCCACCCGTTCATCCTCCTCAGTGAAAGATCTGTTCAGGACTTTTGCCCATTTTCTAATTGGATTGGTGTTCATTTTTTTCTCTTTCTTTTCATTTCTTAAAAATTTTGAGAGCTCTTTTATGCAGTATAGTGTAGATCCTAGTTCTTTGTCAGATCAATGGTTTGAAAACACCTTCTGAGGGTCTGTGGCTTGGCTCTTCATTTTATATGTCATTAAACGAAGCAAAAGATTTTAATTTTGGTTATGTTAGTTTGTTCTGTTTTGTTTAAGACAGAGTCTCACTTTGTTATCCTTGGTAGAGTGCCGTGACATCACAGCTCACAGTAACCTCAAACTCTTGGGCCCAAACGATGCTCCTGCCTCAGCCTCCCAAGTACCTGGGACTACAAGCACCCGCCACAACACCCAGATAGTTTTTCTATTTTTAGTTGACACAGGGTCTCACTCTTGTTCAGGCAGGTCTCAAACTCCTGAGCTTAAGTAATCCACCTGCCTCAGCCTTCCAGAGTGCTAGGATTACAGGTGTGCGTTGCTGCACCTGGCCTAAAAGGTTTTAATTTGGAGAAAGTCGATTTATCAATTTTACCCCCTTGATGGATTGTGATCTTGTTGTCAAAATTAAGGGCAATTTGGGGTGGTGCCTGTGACTCAAGGGCAGGGCGCCAGCCCCATATGCCAGACGTGGTGGGTTCAAGCCCAGCCCTGGCCAAAAACTGCAAAAAAAATTAAGGGCAATTTGCCCAATTTGATATCCCCAAAATTTTCGTGTGTGTCTCTGTTTCTAAAAAATTTTACAAGTTTGGGCGGCACCTATGGCTCAAGGAGTAGGGTGCTGGCCCCATATACCAGAGGTGGTGAGTTCAAACCCAGCCCCAGTTAAAGGGAAAAAAATTTACAGGTTTGCATATTAGATTTAAGTGGATGATTCATTTTGACTCAAATCTATATAAGCTGTGAGGCTTCAGTAGAGACTTACTATTTTACGACTTAAAGAGGATTTCTTTCCTCTATCTCCCATTTGTTTAGATGGTTAATTTCTTTCATTATTATTTTGTAATTCTCAGGATGTGCAAGTTTTAAGTATAAACCAAAATACTTAACTTTCTTTGTAGTAATCATAAACATTTGTGAGATTTTTTTCCTACGTGTTTATTATTATAAATAAATATGATTTACTTTATTATTGGGTTTATCAGTTTTATTAGTTTTCAAAGGATCAAATTTTGTTGTAAGCTTCTCTGTTTTTTTCTATGTCATTTATTAGACTTTTATATTAATTATTTCATCCTTTTTTAATGGCACAGGGATAATTTGCTCTTGCTTTATTTATTTATTTATTTATTTCAGTTTCTGGCTGGGGCTGGGTTTGAACCCTCCACCTCCGGCATATGGGGCCAGCGCCCTACTCCTTCGAGCCACAGGCACCACCCTACTCTTGCTTTTTTAACTTTATAAAATGGCAGCTTAAATCACTGATCTAAATATTTCTTACCTTCCTGTGTTAAAGCCCACAGATTTTCATCTAAGACCATCTTTAACTGTATTATTTTTATTAACATTCATTTCTAAACATTTTCTAATTTCAAGTATGATTTATTTCTCAATTAAAAAACATATTTTCCATTTAAAAATTATTTCTGGCTATTCCTACTTTATTCAAAGAAAGTTCTCCATATAATTTCCATCTTTTAATCTTTATTGAAATGAGCATCTTGCTTTTAAGAGGATCTATTTTGATAAATATTCCACCTGTACTTACAATAAATCATATTCTTTCATGTCAGTTGCAGAATTTTCTACATTTCAAGTTCGTAATCCAGATGTCCCAAACTACTTCTCTATAGATTTTTTTTTTTTTTGGTGAGTCAAAAATATAAGTTAAAGTTCATATTTATGACTGCAAATGTTTCGAGTCTACATTGTAGTCAAATTTTGTGTTATACATTTTGGACTGTGTTACTTTTAAAAGCTTACAATTCGGGATCGTCCTTCTATGAGACGGCCATTGTTTATTACTGTCTAGTAAGACACTCGCATTGCTCTCTGCTTTGACTTGTGATGCTAAAGCTGTGGGTGTCCCTCTGGCCGATGCTAAAGCTGCAGGTGTCCCTCTGGCCGATGCCGAAGCTGTGGGTGTCCCTCTGGCCGATGCTAAAGCTGCGGGTGTCCCTCTGGCCGATGCTGAAGCTGTGGGTGTCCCTCTGGCCGATGCCGAAGCCGCGGGTGTCCCTCTGGCCGATGCCGAAGCCGTGGGTGTCCCTCTGACTGATGCTGAAGCTGCGGGTGTCCCTCTGACTGATGCTGAAGCTGCGGGTGTCCCTCTGGCCGATGCTGAAGCTGGGGTGTCCCTCTGGCCGATGCCGAAGCTGTGGGTGTCCCTCTGACTGATGCCGAAG